GGACGCACGACATCGGCAGAAGAGCGGACACGGAACCGCGAAGAGCAGAAACGTAGAAGAAGAAACATCGAAGACGGAACCACGAAGAAGAAAGCAAGAAAGCTTTGTGGCTTGTGCGCTTCTCTGACCCTTTTCTTTCTTATATTATTTCTTTTTTCTTTTTTCTTTTATGATTTAAGTATATAATTATTATCTTCTTTTATTTTTTTTAATCCACAGTTTTATACATTACCTGTTGTATTTTTTTTTTAACTTTTAAGTTTTAAACATATTTTAATTTCTTTCTTTTCTTTTAATTTTAAGTTTCAAACATATTTGAAAATATGAATGTCTCCATTCTCACCATTAATAGTTTATTTAATTTTTTTTACATAATTTTTTATTTAACTTTTTGCTTGATAAATATATTAATTCTAAGATTTACAAATTAATAATTTTTCTTTTTTAAATAACTAATGTATTACTTTTGAAGTATTGTTATTTTTTATTTATTAATTAAGCATTATATAATTTTGTTAAGAATTTTAAAAAATAGTGAAATATGTTAATTTGTTTTTTTAAAATTCAATCCTAAATAAATATAGTAATTCAATAATTTTTTTTTTATTTTTTGATGTTAAATCCTAAATAAATATAATTTTTTAAATTTAATATCAAATCAATAAAATTGAATAATTTAACCTTTCTTTTATATTAATTCAACTAATTCCTTTTTTAAGTTCTTTTCTTCCTTCACTAATTTTTTTCTCATTTAATTTCTTATTTTTATTAGTGTTTTTTTGAAACTATTGAAGAAAAAATGGCATCATGAGAAGGAACTCAAGGAAATGAACCACCACGAAAATTGCATAAAAATGTCGTTGGAATGAAAACTGATGTGGCATGGAAATATGGTGTTTCTGTTGATGTGGATGCAAGAAAAGTCAGGTGCAAATTTTGTGAAAAGACATTTACAGGAGGGGTTTATCGTTTGAAACATCATTTAGTAGGAACATCCAAAGATGTTGGGGCATGTAGATCGGTTCCTGAAGATGTTAAAAAAGAAATGTTGGGTATTGTTTCATCATTGCAACAAAATCTCCTAAAAAAATTCGGTGACATTGAAGGAATAGGTATTAGTTTTGCTGCCCAACTAGAAGGTGGTGATATTGGTAGTCAAAATCTTTTCAAGAGAAAAGTTAGCTCTCAAATGACAATCAACTAGATCTTTAAGAAGGATTTGAGGGAGGAAGCATGTCAGGACATTGCTCTATTTTTTTATTTGAATGTTATCCCTTTTAATGCAGCCAATAGTGAAACATATAAGAAAATGTTTGAATCAGTTGCTTGACACGGTCCAGGATTTGACCCACCATCCTATCATGTCGAAATGACCAATCTTTTGTTAGATGATCATAAAACTTATTGAAAAAAATTTGGATGCACAATAATGACAGATGGATGGACAGATAGGAGGAGGAGGACTATATTAAATTTTTTAGTAAATAGTCCACTTGGAACAATTTTTTTGAAGTCTATTGATGCATCCAAGATATGCAAGACAGCTGACAAAATTTTCAAGATGTTAGATGATGTAGTTGAAGAGGTCGAGGAAGAAAATGTTGTTCATATTGTCATAGACAATGCAGCAAATTACAAGGCAGTTGGGGAAATGATGATGAAGAAAAGGACTAAGTTGTATTGGACACCTTGTGTAGCTCATTGCATTGACTTAATGCTTGAAAATTTTGAGAAAAAGATACCACTTCATAGTGAAACAATTGCAAGTGGTAGAAGGATCACATCGTACATCTATGGTAGAGCAAGTCTTATTGCTTTATTGCATAAATTTACTAAGGGGGTTGACTTGATTAGACCTGGCTTGACTCGTTTTGCTACTTCCTACTTAACCTTGGGATGGTTGAATGAGAATAAGGGTCCATTAACTAGAATGTTTACATTTGAAGAATGGACTTCTAGTCAATTAGTAAAGACCAAGGATGGAAAGTTTATAGAGAATTTGGTTACAAATAAGGGGTTTTGGAAAAATGTTATGAATTGTATGAGAGGTGTTTTTCCCTTGGTTAAAGTTTTGCGCTTAGTGGATTCAGATGAAAAGCCAGCCATGGGGTTCATTTATGAAGAAATGGATCGAGCTAAAGAAAAGATACAAGATGCTTTTAGAGGAGATGAGAGTAGGTAATTATCTTCTATTCTATGTGCTTCATTTTATAAATTATAAACTTAATACTTTGGTTGAAAAGTATTTTTTTTTTCAATTGTAGCTACATTCCCTTATGGGAAATTATTGATCAAAGATGGGACAAACAATTACATAGAAGTATTGTTATTTTTTATTTATTAATTAAGCATTATATAATTTTGTTAAGAATTTTAAAAAATAGTGAAATATGTTAATTTGTTTTTTTAAAATTCAATCCTAAATAAATATAGTAATTCAATAATTTTTTTTTTATTTTTTGATGTTAAATCCTAAATAAATATAATTTTTTAAATTTAATATCAAATCAATAAAATTGAATAATTTAACCTTTCTTTTATATTAATTCAACTAATTCCTTTTTTAAGTTCTTTTCTTCCTTCACTAATTTTTTTCTCATTTAATTTCTTATTTTTATTAGTGTTTTTTTGAAACTATTGAAGAAAAAATGGCATCATGAGAAGGAACTCAAGGAAATGAACCACCACGAAAATTGCATAAAAATGTCGTTGGAATGAAAACTGATGTGGCATGGAAATATGGTGTTTCTGTTGATGTGGATGCAAGAAAAGTCAGGTGCAAATTTTGTGAAAAGACATTTACAGGAGGGGTTTATCGTTTGAAACATCATTTAGTAGGAACAGTGAAATATGTTAATTTGTTTTTTTAAAATTCAATCCTAAATAAATATAGTAATTCAATAATTTTTTTTTTATTTTTTGATGTTAAATCCTAAATAAATATAATTTTTTAAATTTAATATCAAATCAATAAAATTGAATAATTTAACCTTTCTTTTATATTAATTCAACTAATTCCTTTTTTAAGTTCTTTTCTTCCTTCACTAATTTTTTTCTCATTTAATTTCTTATTTTTATTAGTGTTTTTTTGAAACTATTGAAGAAAAAATGGCATCATGAGAAGGAACTCAAGGAAATGAACCACCACGAAAATTGCATAAAAATGTCGTTGGAATGAAAACTGATGTGGCATGGAAATATGGTGTTTCTGTTGATGTGGATGCAAGAAAAGTCAGGTGCAAATTTTGTGAAAAGACATTTACAGGAGGGGTTTATCGTTTGAAACATCATTTAGTAGGAACATCCAAAGATGTTGGGGCATGTAGATCGGTTCCTGATCTCTCTCTCTCTTACTCTCTCTCACATATAATTCCTTTATCGTGTAGCATAAGAAGTTCACTGTGGTACATAACTCATGAGGCTCTCTCACCTAATGGAATTGTCTAAAAGTTCAATGTGGTACATAACTCATGAGGCTCTCTCACCTAATGGAATTGTCTTTTAGATTGGGTTATCCTCTTGTGCTTAACTAATAACAATTGGTACCTTCATTGAGAGTGGACTACAAAAAGGACTACTTATAAGTTGGATTAAGTTGCAAATTGGGTATTGATATGTGAGTGAAGCCATTAAAGAGAAAAGGGCTACCATCAAGTCAACATCAGTGTCAATAAGTTTTCGTGGACGTCAGCTCTTAAAGGTGGTGGCAATGTTTGGATTCCCACATTGAGTAAATAAGAAGATCAATTTAGTACTTAAGCCGTGAGGCTCTCACCTAATGAACTAGTCTTTTAGGTTGGGTTCTACTCATTTGCTTATTGCTTAAGTCTTAACACTGCCTCTTGGAGACTAGATGGCACAATGTCTTGAATATTTGGGTAAGGTGAGTAGCGTTCTCCATGACTTCAATAAACTATTGTCCCCTATTGCCACTCCTGGCAAGGAACTTGAACAATGTATCTTCTTCATATTGCGGACCTTGTATGGTTTCCTGCTCAATATTCTATGGTTTGTAATTAGATATTGGGTTATCCCATTGTACCCACTTTGAGCTTTGTTTGGTCCAACTTACTATAGGTATTGACCAAAATCCCTAAATAGGTTACTTTTCCACTCTGCCATTTTCTTGTCTCAACTAACCTTACCTTTGAGTCCATTACTTTCTGCATCCACTTCTTGATTTTAGTCTGAATTTATCTCTTCTACTTCACCGCTTCCTCCTTTGCCTTTTGACTTACCCACTACAGATATCACATGCTCTAGACTTGATTTTAAATTGTGTGATAACTAGGGTCCAGTAACAAGAATTAGCTGGAGGTTGCTTCTAAATTTTTAAACCAAAATAAATTCTCCCATGCAAACTCAGCTTCTCTCTTTTCTACTCAAACATGATGGTGCAAACTTCAAACAGAGGTGAATGGCAATGAGATTTGAGCCTATCGACAATTTCAAACAAGGTTGGACCAAAATTTATCTCTACCAATGATAATAAATAATGGAACACGACTACAATAACACGTATTAAAGACAGGCTGAAACCAAATTTGTCAATACTAGGCAATTCTATAATACACTATCAAATTATGGCGTATTAACACTACTATAAAAAAAAATGAAAAAATATAAAAATTAAAAAAGTATTAATTACTAAACTGAGATAAGCATAATAGTCCATGCATACAACAAAAAACTAACAATGAAAATATTGTAGTTTGTCCACTCATTATCATGTCCATAGATTTAACTTTGATTTTCTGACCGTATAAATAGTTTTACTTTTACACTATCAACGAAATAATTCTGCCACCATTTTAAGAAGTAAAATTGTTGTTCATCATAAAAAAATTAAAAAAAAAAAACTTTGGTTACTAACTAAATAAAATTTTTAGTGTAACAGAAAAGAGAAGAAACCACACCAGTACAGTAATTAAAGAAACACCAGAAGGCCTCAAAAAAAGAAGCTTGACAGAAAAAAAAAATGTTAATGAAATCATACTTACAAGTTAATTCATGAGGCAGAGCAAAGTCGTAGTCATTCCTTCTCCTCCTGATGTAAATATAGACCAGAAGCAGTATTGCACAGAAAACAAAAAGACAGGACAAGCCTATTGCAACTTTACCCGGAGTAGATAATTTTCCATTTTCCCAAAACATAGGACAAGCTGGTAGAGATGGTACACCACACAAACCTTTGTTGCCAGATAGACTGAGCAAAATCAAAACAAACTAAAGGTATCAGAGATTACTTCTCAATTATATAATTACAATTTAATTAAAGCTTTATTAAGTGCACCACAGCACACAAACACAATCCTTTGGTGATATACTACTTTTGTACCTATTACAACCCAAGCAACCAAGGCAACAACTAGCGCTGATTAATTCCCCAGAAGGACAAAATCTTAGCCAGAATATTCATGTAAAATCAGATGACATCATGAACCTAGGTGAGTGTGCCTCTGCTAGCAATATATTTTGAATTGAAAGGTTTGAAATGGAAAATCAACTGATTTTTGTCACTTTATAAGCATAAATTTCAGTAATAAGAAGCCATTGCATAGTCAGTCCTTTAAAGATTGCAGGTAAATCAAAGTTGAGGATTTCAGAAATCATCAAATTTACTTCACCTTACATGAATAACTCAATTTGGATATCTTACATAAAAAATGATTGTACAAGAAGAACAACAATGAACAATGGAAAGAGACAGAAGGGCAGGAAACTTTATGTGAAGATCTGGCATTGAAGCTAACTTTAGTATTAAATGCTGATGACAGATGACATCATGAGCTTAGGTGGGTGAGTCTCTGCTAGCAATTAATTTTAAATAAGTACACAGACACAAAAACAAGAAAAACAGACAGGACCTCATATAATCAAGTATGGAAGTAGTGGAGATTCAAGCCGAGCACATTATCCAGAAGCTTAAAGAATAAAAACATTGAATTAAAGATACATACTCTATAGCTCCACCATGCACACCAATTGAATAAAGTTCCTCTGGTACCCGCCCTTCCAATAAGTTATCATTCAATCGCCTGACATGATAAAATGGATTAGAAAAACAGACAAAAGTAAGCTAATTTTGCTGTGAACAGGAAGGTAGAAGGGAGAACATCTTAAAACTCCCTAGAGTCAAGTGTTATCTACCATTTCTTTTCTACATGCCCAACCACTTAAAAGAGAAGAAAAATAGAATGATCTATGCTTTCAACACCAAATAGCAACTTCATTGATGACTAAGGAACTTCAAAACAAAATAAATACCTTTTTCATTCTGACACACTAGTATTAAGATGCAATTTAATCTAACAATGATTAACGGTTATAATTACAAAAAATCGAAGCACAGATATTACTACTTTGATCCAGTAGTTCCAAAGCTGCTAGAAAAGAAGTAAAAAAACCAAAATTAATATTTAGAGCAAAATGTGGATGCATTTGTGGGGAAACAACATCAACAGAGAAAAAACAGCATAATTGTTGGCTATTTGGGATTATCTCTTATTCGTAGATTATGATTACTTTACTTTGTAAGTTGTTTGGTGAACACTGGACAGCACAAATATTAAATTTTCTACAGTACTATTTTTGATATTAGTTATCTTAATGAATTTGTAGTAATTATCTTAATGGGGTGATGAAGGTGGAGGTAATAGTGGTGATGACAACAATAGTGGTTGCGGCTGCAATGGCGGTGGTAGTGGTTATAATGGCAATGATATTGGCAGCAGTGACAGTTGTAATAGTGGCGGCACTAGTGGCAAAGACAGTGGTTATAGGTGGTGGTAGGGGGCATCGGTAGCAATGGTAAAGGTCGAGTTGGTGCAACAACAATGATGATAGTGGCAGTTGTTTATCTATTGAGTAATTTGTGTTGTATTTTTGAGTGATATTTCAAAAGATTAATATGTTTATTGAATTAGAAAATTATTTTAAATTAATTTTGTTTTATTAAATAATATATTTTAATTAGAATTAGTCTTGTTGACTTGGTCATTTAGATTAAGTTTTATCTTATATTTTGACTTGGTCTTCAAGAGATAATATATTTTATCTTATGACTTGGTCACAGGTGATTTTGAGAAACAATTTCTTTTCATTATAAATATAACCTACAAAAGACTTTGAGAGTATCTCCACACATATTTTTTCTTGATTGTATCATGAATCTCATGGGTTATTCTCACTTAAGAAAATTTTTCAGTTCTGTTACCTCAATTATTAATTAGGAAGGACCTATTATATCCTGGGGAACTTGCGCATCACGCGGATAAGTCTTTAAGAACAGTACTATCACACATCTCAGGTTAACGTTGGTTATGTGATTGTAGAATTTTCATATGAGAAAGAGGACTCTTGTTCGTGATTGATTTTGAAGATGGATAACAATTTTACAACATTTCGTACTTGGGACAAAAAGTTGTCCCATGGTTTATTGAATAACCAAAAAAAAAAAGAGTTTTTGTCGTGTCCTTCAACATCTAATTTATCCTATCCCATGATGTTTTTGTAAATCAAATGTGGAACAATTATATTTGTCCTCTCTAGTACCATGATTTAACAAATCAATTAGACCTTTTATCTTCTTTTACCGATTAGGATTAAGATTACCTTATCTTTTTAAAATTTGAATTTTGTTTATGATTTTGTCTCGATAAGATTATGTATAACAGAACCATTACCACTCCTAGTTTTATTTTTAGGATAATTGTTAGTTATGATCCTAACAATTAGGATTGTTTTCTTATATGTAGCCTTATAAAAAGGTGGACTAGGATTGGAAGAATCAAGCAAAAGATTATTTCAGAAATATCCGTGTTAGTCTAGGAGCACTATTAAGTATGAATCTGCTTCTCACATACACATTCACTATAGGTTGCAAGAAGGATTCTTCCTTGTTTGGACCCACGAGTGGCAAACCCATACTTAAGTGAGAGTGGACAAATGCATTCCCTCATTTTAATTAAATTATTAATTAAATTAAATTATTAATGCATTCACTGACCCCTTGACCACTAATAAAAGTTATTTTTTAATTAAAATATGATGAAATGGTTCTTAGCATGGATCCAGTCACAGTTCAAGGGATGTAAAAAGTAAACTTAACCACTAAACCATACAATTCTATGCATATATCATTTACAAATATGATATATTATTAATTTTAAATAATAAAAAAACTGTCTCCACTGACTCAGGTGCAACACCCCAAGTTTTCTCAATAAATTAATAAAATATTTTAATTACTTAAGGAGAGTTTTCTGAGAAATAATGGAGTTGTTTTATTTAAATATATGTGTTTTAATTAATTAATTAAGTGTATTTTTGGGAAAAAAAATGTATTATTCTTGAGGAATATTTAAGTATGTATTTGAAAGAAAAAAAAAAAAAAAAAAAAAAAAAAAAAAAA